GCATAGCCCAGCGCTTTGTATATTGTAAGCACTCAAAAAAACTTTGTTTGTTATTATTGCTAGAAACCCTCAAGAAGAAACACTTAAGCAGGTAATTGGGCTAGAAGAGCCCTCCTGTCAGAGGGACTAGGACATACCAAAGCCTTAAGGGACTAAAGAGCCTTCAGGTCCCCAGACAAGCTAAGGAGGCAAAATCAGCCCCAGACGGGGACTGCAAAACCAGTGGGCAAGGTTTCATCTTTTAGGGAGAGGTTTGAGCTTCACCCTAAGAGTTATTGGGAGTCTTAAGCTGAATGTTGACTTCCCCGGTGATTCAGTCGGTAAAGAATCTACCTGGAATGCTGGAGACTCAAGTTCGATTCCTGGGAAATGGCAACCCGCTCCAGTATTCTTGCCTGGGAAATTGCATGGACAGAGGAGCCTGGCAGGCTACAGTTCATGGTGTTGCAGAGAGTCGGACCCCACTAAGGGACTAAACTACCACCAAGCTGAGTGTTGTTGTTTAGTTCACTAAGTCATGTCTGACTCTTTCGCAGCCCCATGGACTGTAACCCTCCAGGTTCCTCTGTCCATGGGATTTTTCCAGGCAAGAATACTGGAGTATGTTGTCATTTCCTCCTCCAGGGGATCTTCCGGACCCAGGGATCAAATCCACATCTCCTGCATCTCTCCTGCATTGGCAGGTGGATTCTTTACCACTGAGCCACCAGGGAATCCAATCAGATTTGCATTGTTTAACTATTCCAGCTGCTTCAAGGAGAACCCATAGAGGGAGATTCCTTATAAGGTTTTACCTTAAAGTAGATAACCAGTCTTGGGCATGTTTCTTTCAATGTGTCTCAGTTTCCTCATCGGTAACACATTCAGTAATAACACTTACTCCATAGGCTGTGGGGATTAAATGAGTTGCTCTCTGTAAATTGTTAGGACAGCTTGCAGCATATAAATGCTTTAAATGTTTGCTAAATAGAATGCCGCAGTCTGGTAACAGAAAGTTAAGCACTTCCAGTGCTGTTCTCCGTCCATCTAGCATCAAACTGATCTCCTGTGTGAGAAACACAGTCTGCTCCTGATTCCTAGCCTTTTGCAGCCGAGTTTCCTAATAAGGAAACCGAGTTTCCCTCTCCCCCTGCCTGGTCTGGTGTGGGCACCTCCACATGGGTGCAGCATGTGGTTAGCCAAGCCTGGCTGGACTTTTCCTTTGTCAGAGCACCTACACTGCACTCCCCACAGGGAGTCAGGCCCCACCTGCTGAAGGCACCGTGTGTGCCCCCTGCTGTGGTTAACTGAGACTCCACCGGTAAACACCTCCCTTCGAAGAACGGGACACTGACTGTAATTTACCTCCCCTGGCTCTGCCAACCTAACCATAACTGCTTGATCTCACCCAGAATGCACTTAGTGTTTGAAATAACTGGGAGGTGAATTCTCCTGGGGCTGTTGTCAGCTCCTGTTTGCTTGCTATATTTATAAAGGATAGCTTTGAACTGAAAGGAAAAAAAGGCCAATACTTGGCAAGTAGCTTCCATCCAGACTTTTCTTCACTCTAGAAGGAACCTTTTCATTGTCTTATGCCTTATTAAAAAGTTCACTTTACCTCTGTAAATTTCCTGTTTTTCTCCCTCCGCAGTGGTTTCATTTTTTTGTGCGTCATATTATGCATGTGGCTGAATCTTTTTTTTTAATCATTAATATCTTCTACTAAGTAGTAGTATTTCAAAGTTACTTTGTTAGCTTGCTATGAACTCTTCTAATTTGAAAACAATAGGTTGGCTTTCAGATAGGAACAGCAGAGAGAGAAAGTCGCTCAGTCATGTCCGACTGTTTATGACCCCATAACTTATGTAGTCCATGGAATTCTCCAGGCCAGAATACTGGAGTGGGTAGCCTTTCCCTTCTCCAGGGGATCTTCCCAACCCAGGGATCGAAGCCAGGGCTCCCGTGTTACAGGCGGGTTCTTTACCAGCTGAGCTCTTTCAGCAGGTTTCAACCTATATTTACTTAGTAGTGTTGTCTGGAGTTCTTTTTTTCTTCTTTGAACTTTTTATTTTGTCTTGGGGTATAGCCAATTAACAATGCTGTAATAATTTCGGGTAAACAGCAAAGGGACTCAGCCATACATATTCATGTATCCATTCTCCCCCAAACCCCCCTCCCATCCAGGCTGCCACGTAACATGGAGCAGAGTTCCCTGTGCTATTCAGTAGGTCCTTGTTGGTTATCCATTGTATCCATACATGCAGTATGTACATGTTCATCCCAGACTCCCAGACTATCCGTTTCCCCCAAGAACTATAAATTCACTCTCCTAAGTCTGTGAGTCTGTTTCCGTTTTGTAAGTAAGTTCATTTGCAGCAACATGGACAGACCCAGAGAGTGTCAAACTGAGTGAAGTAAGTCAGAGAAGGAGAAATACTGTTTGATATCCCTTATATGTAATCTAAAAAGAAATGATACAGATGAACTTACTGCCTGGAGTTCTGTTTTGAGGAAACGGAGCAAGTCAGAGCTCACAGGAAGAAAGTACCATGATCCACATAAAAGTGTGTGCTCCAGCCTAGGGTTGAGTTTCCCCAGGGAGGAACTGGGATGGGGAAGAGAGGTGGCACAGAGGCCTTCCTTGGTGTTTCTGATGCTTTATTAAGTTCCATGGTGGAGGAGTTGTTGTGTTATTTTGTATCTTTTTGAATATGTAAAATAGTTTGTGATAGAATTGACATGATGAGTTAGTGATATGTGCCCTTGTGTTAACTGGTGAAGCAGAAAGAAGAAAAATAATAAACCCATAATAGTGCCATCCCAGAGACTTAATGTTTGGTGATATTTTCTTTCATTATTTTTTTTATTCCTATGTCTGGGATGAGTTCATTTCTATATATACAATTTTGCATCTTCCTTTCTTCATTTAATATTATAACCATTTAAAATGCTGTCATAAATTCTTTATAAGCATTTAATGGCTTACAATGAGCCACAGTATTGAGGGTATCACAGATTAATAATTCCCTCCTGTTAGACATTTTTTTGCTATAAGAAATAACACTGTGGTGAACATCTTTGCACATAATCCACATTGTCATATTTGGATTTATTTCCTTAAATGTATGCCAGATACATTAAAAGTCATGAATGCTTTTAAAATTTTTAATATACATTCTCAAGTTGTTTTCTATAAAGTAACCAACCTATAAGGTGTCTGAATGTTACCACTTATAACATGTCTACATGTTACAGATGTCTAGGCAAACATAGCCCTGTCAGTCCAAGCTTAGGGGTGGGTTATGGGCTGTGTTATACTCACTCACCCTCTGTGGGTGCCTTTGTCTGATTTACAGTAGCACTGATGTGTGATTCCATTTGAATTTTACCAATAGCTCACACAGAACACCTGTTTCAGAGAACCCAGATTAGCCTTAGGTATCCATGTCTGTAAAAACTTTAATTCATTTAGTGGAAAATGGTTTGTTGATGTATAAATTTCCCCTTTTTGATTATGAGGCTAAACATTTATCCATGTGTTTCTTGGGTATTAGTGTTTTGTCTTAGGAATTATCTGTTCCTATGCCTTTTTTATGCTCTTAATATTTTCATATGGTATTTTGTAAGGTCCATCTAGCCAAGGCTATGGTTTTTCCATAGTCAAGTATGGATGTGAGAGTTGGACTATATAAAGAAAGCTAAGCACCGAATAATTGATGCTTTTGAACTGTGGTGTTGGGGAAGACTCTTGAGAGTCCCTTGGACTGCAAAGAGATCCAACCAGTCCATCCTAAAGGAGATCAGTCCTGAATATTCATTGAAAGGACTGATGTTGAAGCTGAAACTCCAATGCTTTGGCCACCTGATGCAAAGAGCTGACTCACTGGAAAAGACCCTGATGCTGGGAAGGATTGAGGGCAGGAGGAGAAGGGGACGACAGAGGATGAGATGGTTGGATGGCATCACCGACTCAATGGACATGGGTTTGGGTGGACTCCGTCAGTTGGTGATGGACAGGGAGGCCTGGTGTGCTGTGGTTCATGGGGTTGCAAAGAGTCAGACACGACTGAGTGACTGAACTGAACTGAACTGAACACTAAATTTGATTCTGTATTAGTGTGTATAGTTGCTTCAGTCATGTCCGACGCTGTAGCCTTCTAGGCTACTCTGTCCGTGGGATTCTCCAGGCAGGAATACTGGAGTGGGTTGACATGCTCTCCTCCAGGGAATCTTCCTCACCCAGGGATTGAACCCATGTCTGTCACATCTCCTGTGTTGGCAGGTGGGTTCTTTACCACTAGTGCCACCTGGGAAGTCCAAATTTGATTACATACGCAGTATCATTTGTTGTTAATGTTCTTAGTTTGTGCATATTCACTGGGAAACACGCAGGGTGGTTTTTTTTGAGGGGGAGCTGTTTTGTTGTAGTTTAGAACAACTGTTGATTTGCTCCCTTGACTTTGAGTTTATAAAGTTCTTCCCCATTCAGACATGTGAAAAGTACTTGTATTTTCTTCTTGCTTATTATTTTATTTCAGTTTTACATTGATCTCTTTAATTTACAGTAAATTCAAGTATATTTTGATAAGTAACATAAAGTGAGAATATAATTTTTTTCAAGTAGTTTTCCTAGTACCGTTTATTGCATAATCTTTCCTTTCCCTAGTGATTTGTGATGTGGTCCTTGTCAGGTATTAAGTAATCATCTCTACTCTGATAAGAATGTTTTACTGAGTTTAAAAACAGTAAAGATCACATTTTTAGTGTAGTTAAAGCCTTGTTCATTAGTTATACATATTTCACTATTAATGTTTTTTTAATTTACTTAATGTAATAATTTTATCACTAACTCATTTCCTCTTTATATCTGAATCAAAGTGAACTGGGTATTTGGAAAAATTAAGATTATTCATTTCATTGAGACCACCCCATTTACAAATGACCCAGCTTCTTGGCATTATATATAATAGGCACTTATTTCACTTTTAAAACCTTTATCTCTTTCTGTTTACGTTTTTTAGAGGTTGTTATCTCATATAGTTTCCACATTCAGATTTGATATAAAAGAAGTTGATCTTTTTAATCAAGTTCTTGGGTATGCACCCACAGACTACTATCCTGGTTTACTTAAAAATGTGAGTATTTTTAATTTATTACTATTGAAATTTTCATTGCTTAATGTACCATCAGCAAAAAAGGTAAATGGAAATATTTCACTCCTCCAGGAGAGATGTTTAACTTTTCTGTGTTTATCTCTTCTTACCTTGGGTGGACTTATGGCCATGTAAGGAAAAAATGTGAGATGAGAGATTATGAGAAGAAGAAGGAAACCAGGAGAGGTTATTCTAAATCAACCAACCTCTCTGTCCCTTAACACATCTCATTTATTCTCTCAAAGATTTCTGGGAGAAGAGACTTCCTTAACCACTATAAACACAGTCTTTTACTGTTGGACAAATTTCATATTTAAAAATAACCTGATGGGAATTTTATGTTAAGGCAAAATATTCAATAAATAACAACCTTCTATATATTTACATCTTAATATTAAAGCTGTGATTTCTTCTGCCTTAAATTTTAGCCAAATTCAAGGAACAATTTATGGTCTTAGCACAGCTCTTCTAAAAAATGTTTGAGATTTTTAATGTTTGAATACTGTTCTAGTCTTTTGGAAGCTGTATACATGAACAGCATTTTTAAAAATTAATAAGTTAAGAAAGAAAAAAGTAAACTAATTCTAACATGGTTTTATTTTTAATAGGTTTGGTTTTAATTTGGGGGAAATTAATGACTTGTCTAGTATTCATTTGCTTAAATATTTAGGAATACAGAGTAACAGACATTAAACATAAAATCCAGATTATTAGTAAATGTGATTTGGCACTGCTTTCTTTTTATTTTGAAAAAGTAAAGCAAGGGGAGGATTGTTGAGGGAAGAGAGTGGGGAATCTCAACGGAAATATCACTCACACCAGGAAAAAGAGAACTGATGTAATCCTGTTTGCAGCGTGAGTTAACCTGCAACTGATTTTGTTTTACAGATGGTTTTATCATTAGTGTCTGAACTCCGGGAGAATCATCTTAATGGATTTAACAGTCAAAGACGGTAGGTGTTAAACTAAACATCCCCCTTCTCAAGTTTCAAAATGTATCAGTTTGGTTATGAAAGAAAAGTTTTATAATTCTTAGGAAATGCATGTTCATAATTATGGTTATATTCTATGTAGAGAGATTATTTTCAGGGGGATACATGGCAAATTGGCAATTTTTACAAATTTTCTTTTTTTAATCACTATTCTCTCAACTCTCAGGTCGTTAAGTAGATCAAACAATGTCTTTTGGGTACCAATTGAGAAAAACTGATACCCACATATGCAGTATACAACACAAAAGAAAGAATGCATGGCTAGTGTGAGGCTGTATCATTCACACACACAGTTACAGAAGCAAAATTATTTACAAGGCAGCAGATATTTGGTGTGCACAAATAACCTATTTTAAGAAACATAATATACCAAAAATCTAGACTAAACAAATCAAATCGATTCAGACAAATTAAAATACAATTAATCATATTACAAAATATTTCTTCACTAAATGAAAGAATTCAAAGTTGTTTTTATTGGTGAGCATTTTTATTTTTAACAAATCATTAGGATAATCTGGGACTAAAGAAATTTGTGACTTTTTTTTTTTTATAAAGCTGTTGACAATTAAAGCTCTGTCTGAAATGGTGTTTGCCCTCAGCCTTTAGGAACCCTTTGTATTTAACCCCTTAAAGTAAAATATAAAACTCTTAGATGAAAACACTGGAGAAAATCTTCATGACATTAGATTTGTCAGGGATTTTTTTGAATACAACACTGAAGCCATAAGAAGTGAAGCAGAAGTAGATAAACTGGATTTCATTACAATTAATACAACACCTGGTAAGTGAGATATATCATTCAGTTGGGAATAGTATATCTGATAAAGGATTAATATCCTGACTATAGAAAAAACTTCTAAAATCAACAACAAAAACTCAATTCAAAAATGGGTAAGAGACTTTATTAGGTATTTCTCCAAAGATGTATAACTGTCCAATAAGCATATAAAATGAGGCTTTAAATTACTAATTATTATGTAAATGCAAATTAAAGTCACAGTGGGATACTTCAACACACCTAAGTAGAATGGCTATAATTTAAAAAACAACAAACAGAATGGAAAACGACATTTTGGCAAGGATGTGGAGAAAGTAGAACCCTTACACAATGCTGATGAGAACATAAGTGGTAAAGCCCTAGAGGAAAACAGTATGGCAGTTCCTCGGAAGGTTAAGCATAGAATTTCCATAAAGGCCTAGCAATTACTATAACTACCTTGGTAACCAGTGTGGTGGTTTAGTATAAAGTTAAACATACACTTACCATTGAACCCAACAGTTCCACTCAAGTATTAAGTAATGACAAAGAAAAATGTAGGTATTCACAAATATCTCTATATAAATATTCATAGCTGCTTTATTTGTAGTGGTTCAAAAACAGAAACAATACAGAGGACCATCTTCAAGTGAATACAAAAATAAAGTAAAAATTATCTGTTACCATTGTTTAAAAAAATGAAAAGACAAGCCATAGATTCTGAGAAAGTATTTTCAAATCATACGTCTGATAAAGAGCTCACACCCAGAATATACGAAGAAGTCAGTAATAGGAAGACAGATAACTCAGTTAAAAAATTGGTAAAAGTGCCAGTCAGGATGGCTGCTATCCAAAAGTCTACAAGCAATAAATGCTGGAGAGGGTGTGGAGAAAAGGGAACCCTCTTACACTGTTGGTGGGAATGCAAACTAGTACAGCCACTATGGAGAACAGTGTGGAGATTCCTTAAAAAACTGGAAATAGAACTGCCATATGACCCAGCAATCCCACTTCTGGGCATACACACTGAGGAAACCAGATCTGAAAGAGACACGTGCACCCCAATGTTCATCGCAGCACTGTTTATAATAGCCAGGACATGGAAGCAACCTAGATGCCCATCAGCAGACGAATGAATAAGGAAGCTGTGGTACATATACACCATGGAATATTACTCAGCCATTAAAAAGAATTCATTTGAATCAGTTCTAATGAGATGGATGAAACTGGAGCCCATCATATAGAGTGAAGTAAGCCAGAAAGATAAAGACCAATACAGTATACTAACACATATATATGGAATTTAGAAAGATGGTAACGATAACCCTATATGCAAAACAGAAAAAGAGACACAGATGTATAGAACAGAATTTTGGACTCTGTGGGAGAAGGCGAGGGTAGGATGTTTCGAGAGAACAGCATTGAAACATGTATATTATCTAGGGTGAAACAGATCACCAGCCCAGGCTGGATGCATGAGACAAGTGCTCGGACCTGGTGCACTGGGAAGACCCAGAGGAATTGGGTGGAGAGGGAGGTGGGAGGGGGGATCGGGATGGGGAATACATGTAAATCCATGGCTGATTCATGTCAATGTATGACAAAAACCACTACAATACTGTAAAGTAATTAGCCTCCAACTAATAAAAATAAATGGAAAAAAAAATTGGTAAAAGATGGGAATGTATGTCACTGAAAATATATATACATATACAAATGACTAATAAGCACACAAATGCTTGTATGTGATTGTTCATACTGGCATTATTCATAATAGACCAAAAGCAGAAGCAACCCAAATATCTATCAATTAATGGATGGATAAAATATGCTTTGTCCATACAATAGAATGCTATTCCTCTGTGAAAAAGGAACAGTCTTCTGATTCATGTTACAGTATGTTAACATTAAAAACATGCTTGGACTTCCCAGGTGGTGCAATGGATAAGAATCCGCCTGCCAATGCAGAGGACATGGGTTCGATCCCTGGTCCAGGAAGATTGCACATGCTTTGGAGGAACTAAGCCTGTGTGATACAACTGCTGAAATCTTTGTGCCCTGGGGCCCACAATGAAGAGTAGCCCCCAATATCCGCAACTAGAGAAAGCCCGCATGCATCAATGAAAACCCAGTGCAGCCATAAATAAATAATTTAAATTATTAAAAACAAGGCATTATGCTTAAGCCAGTCATGAAAGGCTACATACTGTATGGTTCCATATTTGTAGAATGTCTAGAACAGATAAATCATACTACAGAGACAGAAAATAGATTATTTGTTGCCTGGTACCAGAGGTAGGTAGAGGGATTTCCTGCAGATGAGCACAAAAGATCTTGAGGTGATGGAAATGTCCTAAAAGTGGATGATGATGGTGGTGGTTATCCAAGTCAATAATTTGTTAAAAATTTTTGAATTCTACATTTCAAACAGGTACATTTTGTGGTAAAGTACACCTTAAAAAATAAGATGAAGTGCCCATAGGATGTGTGGAAAGCACTTACCATCAGGTAAAGACTTTGATTTAGCCTTCAGGTGAATGTTGAATAATGGATCTTTGAAGTAATAGAATTAAAAATTACTGAAGGGGATTTAAAAAGTCAGTAGGATGCAATGTGTATTTACACCCTACACCAAACTCCCATCATAGGTAAAGTTGATGATTTCTTAAAATTCAGTAAGAATAAATAAAAGCAATAACAAGAAGCTATTAAATGAATAGAAAAGAACAACCAGATTTAGAAGATATTTGCAGTTTATAAAACAAAGGATTAGTGTGCAAACTATAGAAATGCTTCCTGCAAATCAATCATAAGACAACCACTCCCGTATGGAAATGGACAAGCTATATAAGCGGGTCATTACTGAAGGAGGAAAACTGAATAAATAATAAACATTTAAAAAATTCTTAAGGAGTGATGTCAGCAAGATAGCAGGATAGGAAGCACTAGTCTTGTTCCCCCACAGAAGCACTAACTTAATAGTAGTGTATGATCCAAAGAGCCTTTATAAGAAATTCAGAAATCAATTATGAAGTACCCCTGGCAAGCTCAAACCAAGCATAGCCATATTGAAACATGTAAGAAAGCCATTTCATATCAACCCCAGTAGCCCCTCTGCTGAGCTTTTCAGGCTTGGGGGGATTGGGAGGAAAAATCTAGCTTTAAGCTTCTCGCTTGGGAAAGAAAGAATGGCATGTGTCCAGTATTCTAACTTTGGGGGACTACCTGAGGACCTGCCATCTGCCTTTCCTAACTCTGACCACTCACAGGAAATCAGCGTGCTTTTAATGGCTGGAGACGGGGGAGAGTTAAGCAGTGCTCCGCTGCTTCTTGTAGCAACAGAGAACTGGCCGTGCACAGACAGAGGCTGGCTCAGGTTAACGTGATGACGAAGTACCCCGCTCACAACTTCTCTTTTAGGGTGGGGGCTAGGGAGAAGAGTAGAACGTACATACAGTGTTTCAGCTTTTAAAGGGGCTACCTTAGAGATGAGTTTCTGTGTCCCCTGACTTGAGGCAGGAAGTGAAGGAGCATCCTTTGGATGCCTGAGGGGCTGCAGAGAGCAAGAGTTTCGTGGCTTGTCCTATCATCAGAGAGCCTGTGGTACCACACATGAACACTAGAGGGAGAAAGAGATAAGAAACCCTTGAAAAAGAAACTGTCAGCGCTCTCTAATTGGGAAATTATGTGCACAAACAGAGAAGATGCATCCCCAGAAAATGCTTGAAGGCCCCCCCAGGTTCCCTAGACAGATTGATTAAAAATCTTCCCCTGTACAGAACCAGTCCATAAAGACCAGGAGAGGAGACTCTTCAAATTCAAAAAGCACAACAAAAAAATAATAAGGGACACGAAGATACAGGAAAACATGGCCCAATCAAAGGAATAAAAGGAATCTCTACAAACCTACCTTAAAGAAATGGAAGTCTACAAATTAGCTGATTATTCAAAATGATCATTCTAAAAAATCTTCAACACACTGCAATAGAATACAGATAAACAACTAAACAAAATCCAAAAAATGATGCGTGAACAAAATGGGACTGTCAGCAAAGAGAACAGAAGTTATTGAAGAACAACCAAACAGATATTCTGCAGCTGAAGAATACAGTGATTGAATTGAGAAATTCACTAAAATGGTTCAACAGTTAGACTTGATCAAGCTACTGGAAGACATGTTTTTTGAAATTATTAAATTAGG